GTTCTTGTTTTATAGGCGCTCATCAGGAGCACTGGTGGCACAGAGGTTAAGCACCAAGAGATTGGCAGTTCTAACTCATCAGTTACTGCGAGGGAGAAAGACGTGGCAGTCTGCTTCTTTGAAAATTACAGCCTTGGAAACTGTATAGGGTCCCAAGGTCTACTCTGTCTGTCAGAGTCACACTGAGTTGGAATTAATTCAAGGGCACACAATAACAACAACAACAAGAGCTCACAGTTAAAAAGGGGCTACAAACAAAATAATTGCAATGGTGTGATAAGTCCTGCTAGTACAATATTATGTATTAGGAAGCAACTAGACATGTATTAGGAGCAATTCTGGGAAATATTCACAGAGAACTAATTCCTGAGTATTGAGTGAGAGTTTGCAAGGTGGATGGGGAGGGGGCATTCTAGGTAGATGGAAGAAGTGGGAAATACCATAATGAAGTTCCATGGTAAAGTTTAGGGGAGAGTGAATGAGGTCTACTATCCTGGAGCAGTGGGAGGCCCCAGGATGTTTAAAGCTAATACAGACTTAGGTTTTTGTTCTGGAGGGATATCCTTGGTACTGGCATAGAGAACAGACCGAATTGATGGTTAAGGTGGGTAGTGAAATCAAAGGCAGAGATACTAATTAAGAGATTACTGTGATAGCCTAGGAAAGAAAATGATGAGGAACCTTCTCCTTTTGTTTTTCCTTCAACACTCAAACTCTCCCTAATATTTTTCCACATACATTTCAAAAGGCCGAAATACTAAAATTTTGTTCAAGCCTCTAATCCTAGGTAACTTAAGAGGATATAAAACAAATCCCTGTCTTACAAACCTTAAGTAGCAAAAGAAAACACTCAATCATGTCACATATGTGACACAAACATGCATACCATGTTCATTGCAGCACTATTCACAATAAAAAAAGATGGAAACAACCTAAACGTCTATCAGTGGATGAATGGATAAACAAACTGTGGTACATATACACCACAGAATATTATGCCCAGTTAAAGAATAAAAATGAACCTGCAAAATATTTTATAATATGAATTAACCTGGAAGACATTTTGCTGAGTGAAATCACAAAAAGATAAATACTATATGAAAACACCACTATAAAAGAAGAGTTTTATACACAGAAATATTTTTTTAAAGGTTACCAGGGATAGGAGGGGAAAGGAGGGTGTTTTCATTACCTGTTGTTGTTATGTGCCATAGAGTCGGACCCAACTCATAGCGACCCCTCCTTGGGTTTCCGAGGCAGTATCACTATGGAAGTAGATTGCCCCATCTTCCTTCCGAGGAGTGGCTGGTGGATTTGAACCTCCAGCCTTCTGGTTAGCAGTCAAGTGTCTTAGCCACTATGCTACCAGAGCTCCCTTTCATTACCTAGTGGTGCCCTAACAGAAGATACCACAAATGGGATGGCTTTACCAAACAGGAGTTTATTCTTGTAATTAGGAGGCTTTAAGTCTGAGTTCAAAGTGCCATGCTCTAGGGCTGGGTGAAAGCCCCTCAACCTTGGGCTTCAGCTCTGCCTCCTGCTCCCAGCCCAGTGAAGCTAGAGGCTTTTCTTCACCAGCTGCTAGCTGCTGAGGATGACAAACCCATCATTGACAAGCAACAAGGCACAGTCCCAATATTACCAAACCACATGGCAGGCCATTAACTCAAGTCAATTAAAAGTTCCAAGATCAGCAGAGGATGGCAGACTGCTGAACAACGACTCAGCTACATGCAGGATTCAAGCATGCCATAAGCTAGAGACTATTCCCCAAGCCTTCTCCTTGTATACAGGAAGGAGATTACATCCTTAAGGCAGCTACTCAACTGCTCACAGTAGATTCCACCATGGAGTTGATAACCAGTCTCATCACGGGGAATACTACATCCAGCTGCCCAGCCACTCAACTGGGCCCAGTCAAATTGACACACAACCTTAACTACCACAATTCCACTCCTTGTCAACTTAGCACTTGTACAGATCTCCTTCACTGGGTGTCTCTCATCCCCTAGTTCCTGAGTGGCGACCTCACCCCCTTGGCCTGGTGGGCCCAGTGCCTCTCCCTCTTGGGCATGGCAGCCCTGCCCCCTCACTCTTGGGCAGCAGCTATGACTCCATCCCACTGGCTCACATGAGCGAGCAGCCCCACATTCCAGAACCAAATTGGAGAAGGTCTGGCTCTTTGAAACCTAGGGGGCTATGGTGGTTCCACCCTCAAAGGCCATGGTCCTACCCTTGAGGCTGAGGCGGCTCTGCTTCCTGTTTCCTTCTGCCCATTAATGCCGAAAGCAACCCACTCCACCAGAAATCTTCCTGCCCAAAAAGCACTCAGGTTTCTTGCCATGAGCTGGCCAACCTGCTACTCCATTTCATGCTGAACCCTTCTACCAATTAATGCCCTAAGGCAACCCACTCCTCCAGGAAGCTGCCTAGCCAATGGCATCCAGCTTTCTCCTCCATGAGCTGGTAAGGCTGTCGCTGTCTCATGCTAATTCTCAGCTCTGCTCCTGCCATTTCTTATGCCAGTCTCATGGCTCTGCTCCTGCCATCTTTCATGCCACATTCCAGGGTCTCTCTGCTGGGGTCTTGGGTCAAGGACGCACTCTATTCCTATTTCCACATTTTAGGTATCTATCAGAGAAACACCCCACCCTCTTGGTACCATATTCTATTTTGGTTACCTAGCGCCATTCTGACAGGAATATACCCCAAATGGGATGGCTTTAAACAGGAGTTTATTCTTACAATTAGGAGGCCTTAAGTCTGAGTTCAAGGTGCCAGGCTCTAGGGATTGGGTGAAAGGCCCTCAACCTTGGTCTTCAGCTCTGCCTCCTGCTCCCAGCCCAGTGAAGCTAGAGGCTTTTCTTCACTCAGCTGCTAGCTGCTGAGGATGACAAACCCAAGGTTGACAAGTAAAAAGGCACAGTCCCAGTATTACCAAACCACATGGTAGGCCATTAACTCAAGTCCATTAAAAGTTCCAAGATCAGCAGAGCATGGCAGACTGCTGAACAACAACTCAGCTACATGCAGGATTCAAGCGTGCCATAAGCTAGAGACAATTCCCTAAGCCTTCTCCTTGTATACAGGAAGGAGATCACATCCTTAAGGCAGCTACTCAGCTGCTCACGGTAGATTCCACCAAGGAGTTGATAACCAGTCTCATCATGGGGAATACTACATCCAGCTGCCCAGCCACTCAACCAAGCCCAGCCAAGTTGACACATAAACTTAACTACCACAGAGGGTAAATTACTAAGTAGAGGGCAATATACAATAAGGAGGAGGTCAGCACATAATGACCAAGGCAAAGGAAGACATTGAGGAACACAAGAGTTAAAGGCAGCAAAGGTAAATACTATAACATACATAATCCTGCAGTAACAGTAATAACAATACTCTATGAATGGATACATAGATGTTGTTGTTGTTATGTGCCATCGAGTCAGACCTGACTCATAGCGACCCCTCCTTGGGTTTCGGAGGCAGTATCACTATGGAAGTAGATTGCCGCATCTTCCTTCTGAGGAGTGGCTGGTGGGTTTGAACCATCAGCCTTCTGATTAGCAGTCAAGTGCTTTAGGCAGTACACTACCAGAGATCCTGGATACATAGATAGGTAAGCTGAACTGGTGTGAGAAGGCAAATGGGACTACATTCACAAATATATATATATAAAAGTTTGACATATGTATTTTTATGTGCTACTAATACACTCATTGAATATCAAGAGCATACCAGGGGCAAAGTTATGACATTTTCTTAGCCATAACCAAACACCTTGAGGAAATGAGTTACTGGGCCTCAGGGCTCAGGACCACAGTCCAGGAGACATCAAGGTCAATTGGCATAACGTAATCCATAAAAACAATGCTCTACATCCTACTTTGATGAGTATCAACTGGAATCTTAAAAGCTGTGAGCAGCCATCTAAGATACAAGTATTGGTCTCTTCTTGTCTGGAGCAAAGAAGAGTGAAGAAAATCAAAGATGAACAGGAACAATTACTCCAAAGGACTAATGGACCACTTGAACCTCAGCCTCCACCATGCTGAGACCAGAAAAACTAGATGGTGCTTGGTTAGCACAGCTGAATGCTCTAAAGGGGATCACAAAAGAAGGTCCTAGAGAGAGTAGGAGAATGTGAAACTAAACTCAGAATCGTTAAAAAAAGACCAGGCTTACTGATATGATAGAGACTGGGACTGGTAGAACCATTGAGAGTATGGTCTTTAGATACCCTTCAAGCCTGGAAACTGAACTCACCCCCATGGTTCAACTTTCAGCCAAAAGATAGTTCTGGAAGGTGAACAATAACATTGGGAGGTGTACATCCCCTGGAACAAGCAACCACACAAGAGCAAAGGCAGCATTTGCCCAGGGATAAAGCTCAGAAGGCAGGAAGGGATAGGAAGGATGACAGGATAGAAAACAGTAAACACAGGGAGGGAGGGAGAAGAGTGCTGGTGTATTGTGAGGATTCTAATCAATGTCACAAAAGAAAATATGAATGAATTGATGAGTGGAAAACCAACGTGTTCTATAAACTTTCACCCAAACCACAATAAAGAGTTAAAAACAAACCACCATGAAACTCTAGGCTTGGAGATTCGATTTGGCTACCAGTCAACTGGCGAGCATCGACCTCTGCTAAGGTTGATTCCTTCAGCTGGAAAATTCCAACACTATTATTTGTCTGAATGAGAATTTCTGATTCTCTATTCAAGTTGCATGGAAATAATATGAAAACAGATGCTGTGTCCTTTGAATTTACTCTGTTTCTCAGTGTGTAGGCAGGAGTTTCAGGCCCCAGTGTCCACCAGTAGGAGGCATTCTCTGAACGTGGTTGGGAAATATTCATTCCTAGTAGATGACATTGTTTCCTTATCTGGCTGAATTCTGTCTGAGAAGGAGGACTGTTGTTTCTATGAAGAAAGAGCTAGCTCCACCCTCGGCTGCTGCCACAGCTGTTCTGCCTATAAAAAAGCACAAAGATTTTCCCTCTTTGTGGCTTTCCAACATGGATGCTTTTCAGGGGATTTTAAAATTCTTCCTTAACCAGAAAACTGCTATAGGCTATAGCTTCATGGCTCTGCTGACCGTGGGAGGCGAGCGGCTCTTTTCGCTCGTGGCTTTTAAGTGCCCCTGCAGCACCGAGAATTCAGTCTATGGGCTCGTTTTCCTCTTTGCTCCTGCCTGGGTGTTACTGATCCTGGGATTCTTCCTGAACAACAGGTCGTGGCGACTCTTCACAGGCTGCTGTGTGAACCCCAGGAAAATCTTCCCTAGAGGCCGCAGCTGTCGCTTTTTCTACGTCCTTGGCCAGATCATTCTGAGTTCACTGGTGGCTCCAATGATGTGGCTTTCAGTAGCTTTGCTCAATGGGACTTTTTACGAATGTGCCATGAGCGGGACGAAGAGTTCCAAACTCCTGGATCTGATTTGCAAAGGAAAGCCCAAAGAGTGCTGGGAAGAACTTCACAGAGTATCTTGTGGCAAAACCAGCATGACATCCGTGGACAATGAAGAGCTGAAACAGTCACTTCAAGCCCAGTCTCAGGTAGGAAGGACAAACTCATTTTTCTCTCCCAGCTCTGTCCTCCTTTCACCCATGGCTGAGTCAGAGCCTTGCCAGAACATTTTGAAGATAAATGGAAATTGGACCATAATGCAGCATTATGACAATCTCAGGGAAAGCTTTTTATAGGTTGGATGGATGATGAAATTGCTGATTGGATCATGTATTTCCCATTTCCAAAAAGTAATTATCCTTTGGGTTATGCATATGTAAATACTTAAGTACACTTAAAACAATCTGTCTAGGTTAACTTTGTAAATAATGCAGGATACTAAATCACAAACCAAGTGTTAATGGCAAAGCTGCAATTAGAAATTACTGCCTCCTGTCAATTACTTACTTTCAAACTGGTTTCTCAGACATTTTACTCAGCTATTATAATTTAGCTGAAGCAAATGAGCTCATACTTTTTGAAGTTGCCTGTAGTATAATCAGTGTAGAGATTTCCCTGAATGATTTCTGACAACTGCTAACCCTATGCATAAAAATTGTCAAGGCTAGAAGAATTCACCATCTAATGAAGGACTCAGCAGTCTTTAAATAGCCTTCAGTGAAAAGTGACTATATTCTCCAGGGAGATCATGTCTTAATACTCTTTGTGCTGTGTGGCTGGAGAAGTTCTTGCATTGCTTTTGGAGCTCAAGATTTGGGCCATTGTTTTATTTCACAGAAAGCAATAATAGTTTTATCTAATTGACACAGGGAAATAATTTTGGCATCCCTCCAGGTACACAAAAACAAATCCAGATGTGCAGGCTGGCCTGGCCTCAGGAGAAGCCTGACTTCCTATCTGTGAGAAGTAGGAATTGTGTTCCCAAAACCAAAATAAGCAATATAATTCACAATTTGTCAGAAATGCTATTTGTGTCAGAGTAAATACATTGAAGATAGTATAATTTTACTTTTTTTTTTTTAACAAGGATTTGCCTTTATAACACATCAAGGCAGAGTCTATTTTTAAAGCTGGTTATCAGTAGAGCTGTATTATTTTCATAAGCTAGTAAGTAAAAAATGTACTCTAAAACAAAATCTTCTGTTTAATGCATAAAACACATCTTAGATAAAACCTGCCAGGCTCCCAAATGTCTTTCATCTATTGTTGTAGGAAGGTATTAATTAGGAACATTATGACACAATAAATGACTTATGATTGATGCCCTCAGGCACCAGGCTTCATTCAGTTAGTGCCAGTTTCAAACACTTACCACTGTATGAGTGGTTCTTCTCCAAACAGGCATAAGGAAGTCATGCACATGCTGTCATAGCTTAGCTGGGCACACTTACCTGTTTACTTTTCAGTAGAATGAAAAGAGGTCATGCCTGGGGCTGATTCCTGTGGGAAGGGTGGATGAGGTATATAGACAAGGAGAGCTGTAACAAGAGCAGGCACTGACCACAGAGGTTTGGATAAGCAAGAGGCAATGTGCAGTCCAGGCCAATAGTTGGGTATGTAGGTGGTGGAGGTTGAAAGAGTGCCTTCATCCATTCATCCATGGGTGGGACAGAGAAACAAGAAATCCAGCTGGGTGGCTCTCTATTCTGTTGGAAGGTAGAGTGGAGTAGTGGAAAGAAATGGGCATTAAAGGTGACTAGTTGTGAGTTTGAATACTGACTCCATCACTTACCAGCTAAGACAGCTAGAGCTTGAGGTTTGACCTCTCTTGGCTGCACTTACCTCATGGTTGGGGGTAATAATACTTACCTTGAAGGGTTGTGGGAAGGTTTAGAGACAGTGGGCCCAAGCTCTTGGTGTGTAGTAGCTATTCCAAATTGATGAGAGAACTGGGAGAGGTTGGGAAAGGAAATTCATGCAGAATTGGACAATATTGAGGCTTGAGGGTGGGGGCATGCACCATGTTCTAGAGAACTAGGAATTGCAGAAGAACAAGGAGGCTCAGCACTCAGGGGAAAGAAAGTCAATACCAAAGTCATGCAGTGGGGAGGGTTCTGAAACTAATCAAAACCAAAACCACTGCCATTGAGTTGATTCCAACTCACAGTCACCCTTAGGACAAAGTAGAGCCTCCCCATGGGGTTTCCAAGGCTGTAAATCTTAACAGAAGCAGACTTTCTCCCATGGAGCAGCTTGTGGGTTCAAACCACTGACTTTTTGGTTAGCAGTCAAGTGCTTTAACCACTGTGCCACCAGAGTTCCTTGAAGTAGTCTGTACTCAGGCAGTTGTTGTTGTTGTTATGTGCCGTCGAGTGGTCTCTGACTCATAGTGACCTTGTTTATAACAGAACGAAACACTGCCCGGTCCTATGCCAGCCTCATGATCTCTACTATACCTCCAGCCACTGTGTCAATCCATCTTGTTGAGGGCCTTCCCCTTTTTCGTTGACCCTCCACTTTACCAAGCAAGACATCCTTCTCTAGAGAATGGTCCATTCTGACAACATGACCAAAGTAGGTGAATACTCAGGCAGAGTTGGCTCAAATACTACTGAGGTGAGATGACCTACACCAGGTTATGGGAAAAGAAGAAGGGAGAAGATGAAGAAAAGCGGAAGATCTGAGGTAGCCAGCCACTGGTGATTCAAGGTAAACATGAAAGCTTTCACATAACGGCTGTTGTGCCTTATTCATTAATCATGACAACAGAAAGATTCTATGAGGTCAGCAGTGCTTTTACATAAATAGAGTGAAAGCCGTGAGAGCTAGAACTCGATGGGACTGTCTTGATTTTCCAGGTCTCTCCCGTTTTCCGAGAGGGTGCAGTCTCACCACTTTTCTACCGCTCCTTTTAGAGGAACATATTTGAGTTTTCCTTCTCTGACAAGTTTCTGCCTTACATAGATTCCAGCTTTTGCTGGTTTTACTGTATATACATTTGAAAAATAACAGCATGTGATAATCGCTAGCAGGTACTGAAAGCCCATGTGTGCCAGCACTGATGATGATGAACATCCTCTCATCAAATCCTCGTAACTATCCTTGGAAAGAGGTGACCTCCGTTTTACAGTTGAGGAAGCTGAGGCACAGAGATCACCATAGTAAAGGGGAAGCTGGGATCGCTTGGCTACTAACCAAGATGATCATGGTTTGAATCCACCCAGATGTATCTCAGAAAGAAGGCCTGGCAATCTGTTTCTGAAAGGTCACTGCAAACCCTATGGAGTGCAGTTCCACTTTAAAGCACGCAAAGTTGCTATGAGTTGGAATCCACTGGATAGCACTATTTGTTTGTTTTTCTGTGAATCCAGAGCCAGCTATCCTGCTGCTGTAGACGACCATGGCATCTATATAGGGTCTCAGACCCTTCACAGTAATTCCAGGTCTGAGCCAGAGGTTGGAACCACCAATGTGAAGCACGACGAGAGCTTCCCTGTGGTTCTTTATGGATGGGCTGAGGAAAGTGAATGGTTCACATGTTATTGTTTCAGTTCTCAACTAGGCTTATCTGCACTGAAATACCCAGGGTCATTTAAGTAAAATGTCAAGAGACACTTTGAAAGAGACTTGTCAGTCATCCAAATAATAAATTAATTCCAATTGTGAAAAATATAATTAGAAAAAAAAAAAAAAAATAGAAGTTGAGGTATCAAGCGTTCTACTTTTGCAATTCAGTAAACAAAAACAACAATAACAAAAAAACAGTTGAAACAGTTAGTATTCAGAGGAAACGTTGTTGGTTCCAATTACCAAAATTAAGAATAATCCTCAAGATTTAGAATGACCCTAATTTTTGCCCCAGCTTTTAGGCAGGCTTTAAATACTTATAACTTCAGTTTCCTTAATGTATTATATCTGGCCCACTTTACCACAGATAATGAGTAATGATATTTCTTTCAAGTAAAATCCATTTAAATGTAATACATTTAAATAAAGTAACATGGGAAAAATTGGTCTCCTAGCCAGGTATATATGTTCATTAATGACTGAAAACACCTGATTAAAGAATTGGTCATTTACTCAAATGACCACATTTACTCAAACATAGAATTTTTCTCTAATAGCTAATATTATTTGAGGGCTTAGTTTATCTTATTCTGGGAAAATCCATACTCTTTTCTTTTGCCTGCCTTCGGGTTATTTCTTTGAACACCAACAATGGTGAGTAGGAGAATAGAGACTAGGTAAACTCTATTTTGACCATTAAAAAACGTTGCTTGAAAAATAAGATTAATGCTTTCAACTGAGGTAATGACTGAGCAATTCATTTAGCATACACCTCTAATAATGACACTACCTCAGCTCTCTGGAAAGTGGCTTTACTTCTACATGTCCTCAATGTTTCTTTCTTTCTAAGATTCTAGGATGGTGCCTGATTTGTTCTGCATCTTTCTTCTCTCTGGTCACCACTTGTTATACTCGCTGCCGATCTAAAGTTAGCTACCTTCAGCTGAATTTTTGGAAGACGTATGCACAGAAGGAGAAGGAGCAGTTGGAAAATACATTCCTGGACTACGCCAACAAGCTGAGTGAGAGGAACCTGAAGTGCTTTTTTGAAAACAAGAGGCCAGAGGCCTTCCCTATGCCCAACTTTGCAGCCTGGGAGGCTGCTTCAGAACTGTATTCTTTCCACCAAACCCGGCAACACTACAGCACCCTCCATAGGGTGGTGGAGGATGGTCTGGGACTTAACCCTGAGGAAAATGAGACAACAATGGTCCTGATGGACACCACCCAACATATGTAGCTCATCCTCCATCACTGACTCAAAGTATGTGAATGGTACACTCATCTGAGATCCCTTACTGCATCAACAGCGACCTGTGTGTCTGTGTTTTTGTACATTTAGTGTTTCTTTCCAGGACAATACCACAAAGGAAGCAGTTTTGGAATTCCCGAGTACAGTGTCAGATGTGCTTAAGCTGAGACTGATCAGCCAGTCAAGAATGGTGACAAAGGCACTCTTGCATTATTGGTTGGGGGTTGGGTTCAGTGGCCCCTAAAATTCCTTCAAGTTCTAAGATTTCAAGACTGCAAGACAGATGCAAGGGGGTCTGCCATTCTCTGCAAATGTTGGTCATGGCATCTTGGAGCAGATGCAGTGTCTTGTGAGGGAGGGAGGTACTCTTAACATAGATTGCTGTACCTCCAGTGTGACTAGCAGGGGTCTATCCTACTGCCTATGTATCTAGCCTACTGCCTTTTGAAGTATGTGTGAGACTCTATCATTTGAAACTCATTCCCTCAGAATCTGGAGACTTTAGTACTCACAAATAATCAACTGAAAGGAGAGTATACCTAAAATTTAGAGGTTTTCACTTGCTCCCACTGTATGTTGAAAGCATGTCACTGGAGGCCGGGCTGTACTGTGACTGTCATGGTCTCTAGGAACTCTTATCTTTGTGGGCCCCTTTCCACATAAAGAAATTTAATATGCATTGATATAAAGATGAATATATTAATATTACATATTAAAACACTTTCTCCAACTTAAAACTTCATTAATTTTCCATTAAAAACACTTTTGTGGGCCCTACTAGTATCGTAGGAGCTCTGATGGCATAATGCCTAAGGTGTTTGACTGCTAACCAGAAGGCTGGCG